AATTAGAGATAAAAGGTCAAAATAATGAGACACTAAGCCATAATTATGAGATTAAAAAGCTATAGTTATGACTTTTTTGATCAAAATAGATAAAAGGTCAAAATTAAGACATTAAAAGTCCAAATTCATTGTCACAATTTAAACTTTTTGTGTCATAATTATTACTTAGTATCTCACAATTTTGACTTTGTGTCATAATTGTAACTTTTTATGTCATAATCATGACAAAAGCATGATTTCTTTCCTTATATTGTGTGAATGGGCTACCATAATATACAAGAGTGTATAGAAAAAGAAAAATCTTTAAAAATTTTACTTTGAAACACATTTCCAGAAATTTACTTTTGAGAACAATTTAAAACTTATAATTTGTATACATGTTAAATGAAAGTTTAAATGTATATGTCAGATGGTATAACCATCAAGTAAAATGTAATACAATCTTTTGCTTACAGCTTGAATACATCAGCTTGATACATGTCTGTGTAACTGAACATTTAATCTATTTGTATTTTTTAAAATATAATTTATAATTAAATTTATAATCTAAAATGTTTATATTTTACATTTAAAATAATCGCTATGTATTATTTGATTAAATTATTATCTGATAAGTATCAATACGTCAACCACATGACATTTCACAACCTTATCATGTCATAAAGAGACATCAAGAGAAACAATAATAATACTTTTTCTAAGAAGTCAATAAAACATCATGCCAAATGAGTTTTCAAGAATTCCATTCTCTTAATAAGGCTTTTTTTAAATTATGGTATCCAGATAGTTGTACCACCCTGACATTTTGACCATGTTTTTAATTCAAAATTTAAACATGTATGTACAGTGTATTCACTGTATGCATAATGTGCATTTTAAATGTACTTTTGAATGAATTAATAGATCTGTACACTTTCTTTTGACTTGGGCCACCATGGTATAATTTCCAGAAAACTAGTAGTATTACTATAGTGTTGCCACTAGATTAGTGTACAGCAATTATGCTTTTTGCGTGAAGGCCATCTGAAAACTCAGTTTGGAATCTGTGGCATAACAATTCCACTTGAAAGCAACACACAGTGCAAAAACTGACAACCAGACCCCCTGATTCGTCCTTTATCCAGCGAACAACAAACCCAACGAGGGTCCAGTTCCAGCAGTCATTAGACAGATATAAGCTCACTATCAGAAGTCTAGCAGCCCCCTGCTTTAATAAACCTTAATTAGCAGCTCCGTCTGTGTGGAATTACCCTGAAAATCCGGAATGCTGGGCAGAAAAAAACTGGATAGAAAGCTGAAAGGAGCGAGAGAGCCACAAAGAGGGGGGAAAGGGGTGAATAAAGTGTGGGGGGGGGGATTAAAATAGTTTGAATTGAGCCCACGCTCGGCACATTCATCCGTTATTCGGCTCAAATCTGGGTTTTGTTCGAGCCGGAGTAAAGTAACGTCAATCATCTCAACTGGGGTTTTTTTTGGTGCAACTTAAGAAATTGTTATGAAATTGCTCTGGCACATAATGAGGGGCTCCCCTACCCGAACCTCCCATCTATATTAGCCTGAAAGGTTGAGAGAGAGTGGGTGAGAGAGTGAGATTCGCCAATACCAAACCGCTGGACACACATCAAAGTGACAGGAGCGTCCAATCAGATTTGTCTAACAGGCATTACATGATGAATATGGTGCGGCTGTGGCACAAAGGCTTCTTTGTGTGGGCCTGGAGTGAAGGCCATTCACTGCTCCAAACAGCCAGCCAGGGTGGAAGTAAATGGCCAAAAGACTTGCATCAGAAAAAAGGAGAGAAGCCAAACTTGCGCGGTACAATGGTCCATGCAAATGACAGCAAACCCCCTGTCCACAGCTCTGTGAGACACGGTTAGGTCGTCTGAAGTTTAGACGGCTTAGCGCTGTCAAAGTCTTAGGCTTGGCGTTTTCAAACTTTTTTTCTGAGTGAAAAGCAAGTTTTATCTCCCTCCTGCTTAAAGACAGAAGTCTTGTGAGTTTTTGTTGGGATTTATAGGCATCCTGAGGCTTTTGCAGAAAGCAGAGGAGTTTTATGCGTGGACAGAATGGCGAGACGCTGCTGTGAGCCCCTGATGTTAACATGCTAGAAAAGAGAAGAAAACAAAAGCTTCTGACAGAAAAATGTGCTATTTGTGGAGCTATTGTAACAAATACTAAAAAAACAAACACTGATAAATGCCAAAGTGAAAGTTGTGAAACTTAATCTAGTTAAGATTATAATTGAGTCATATTAATTTTATATTATTTATTTACTTAATTTAACAGAGGTGCCTTTAGAAAACAATGTTATTATTTTTTGTTGCTGTTGTTGTTAATTTTCTAGAATTTTCAACCCTGTTACTAAAATTTGGGACACATCTGAATAAAGTTTCAAATCCTGATTTGTGTGACTAGTAGTAAACATTAAATAAACATCCAAATTAAACAGACCAAATGTATAACATGAAAAACATTTTTAAAAAAAGACAACAGCAATGGCAACAGGGTTGCTAGTAACAGGATTGCAAATTTAGCCTAAAGTAAGTTCTCACTCAGCAAGAGTTAGCTAGTTTGCGATCAAATACTAGTTTGTAGATATTGATGAGCTAATACTTACCCAAATTAAATATATATATATATTTTTTTTTTTTACTTTAGTAACAGGGTTGAAAGCAGACAAAGGCAGTGAAAGCTACAATTTGCACAAGAAAAAAAAAGAAAGAAAATAGAATGAAATGTTTTCGTTTCTTCCTGCCATGTTGTAGCAAGGGTTCAATGATGTCACTTCCTACGTATCACATTTTGAAGAAGAATTAGATCATTGAAAGCATAGAGTAACAGGGTTGCGTACATAATGTGAGATACAGATAAATATCATAGTTAAATAGTTCTACACTACAACAAATTTGCCATTTTTTGCCAATTTGTAATCATGTAATCAATAAAAAAGTAACTGTAGTCTGATTACCAAGTATTTAATCTAAGTATTTAAAGTATGTAATTTAATCTAATTACAAGTACTTAAATTTTGGAATCCAGATTACATGTAATCAGTCACTACCCAGTTCTGCCTATACATGCACACACATATACATACTTACCTTACACTTACCCTAAATTAAAGATTTTTTTAAGTCATCTGGCATTTAAAAAAACTAACAATGCATGGATAACTGGAGAAGCTGAAGGTTGGACAGGGTAATAGGGTTGAAAGGTTCATCTTGATAAAAGCAGTCAATGCTACAATTTGCATAAAAAATGCAGAAAATGGAATTAAATTATATGCTTTCTTCTCACTATGCTGTAAAAAGAGCCCAATGATGTCACCTCCAGTGTATTATAGTTTTAAGAACTATCAGAAGATCAAAAGGTGGAATCATGCGGTAACAGGGTTGTGTACATCTATAACATGGGACACAGAGAAATATAAGTTAAATACTACAACGAACACAGAAATGTTATGTGTTTAAGTTTATCCAGTATATCTAACAGTTCTCATACATAAACATGGGATTTGGTCCTTGATTATCATATTCATGGAATGGAGAGAATAACCTCCCATTGCTATACACACCTTCGCAAGTTTTCGTCTTTCTATTCCTGCCATTTTTTATGCTCAAACATTCAAAAATGTATATGAAGAAAAATACGTTTTTTTTTTCTCCAGGCTTTGAAATCAAACATTGCTCAAAGGGCCATTAAAACAGACCCAGGTGGGATTACCTTCTGAGGAAAGCCACTACAAGCCAAGACAAAGTCCACTTTCATCACTTTACAAGCAACAGTGGCTGGATTCTTATCACACTCAGTTTAGTTTATGGTCAGGCTCTGCCCACACAGGATTAATGATGCTGAAAATTCAGCTTTGCATCACTGGAATAAATTACATTTGAACATATATTCACATAGCAAACAGTTATTTTAAATTGTAATAATATTTCATAATATTACTCTTTTTACTGTGTTTTTAATCAAATAAATGCAGCCTTGGTGAGCATAATTACTATAGTGATAGATACAGTAGATAAATAAAAACAGATAGATAGACAGACAGACAGACAGATAAATAGATAGATAGATAGATAGATAGACAGACAGACAGACAGACAGACAGACAGATAAATAGATAGATAGATAGATATTTGCTGAAAGTTGTGCATGCATTCAAATCATTGGTTAATTAGATTTAACTATGTAAATTATGTTCGTGAGAAATGTATTTTTCCAGGTTATTCATGCTTAATCTGGATGAAAAGATTTTCTTTTAAAAACCCAAGCATGTTTTCTAATTTTCTGGGGGTGCACTTGAATATCCAGTCAATTTGCACTAAATAACATGACATAAATCACACTTCAAGTGTTCTTTCTCTTAGAAACTAAAGTCGGCCTGGCATTAAACACAATGACGCATCATTTCAGACCCCGTGAAGGTCAGCGAAGATGAACTATATTTCAAAATTAAACAATAGCCCAACTAGTAGGTGATTTATGCTGAGTATATTTTTCTTTGGTGCCCTAAAAGATATAGAAGAATCCATAAACAGATGAATAATTACTGTCATAAATCACTCCCTTATTTTTTTTAAACTCCAACCGAGAGAGTTCGTCAGCTAACCAATGGGGTGGAGCAGATGTGTCCCACCAAACACAGGCACGTGGCTCACACCTGCTATATCATGCCCACAATTGCACTTATGAAATGTGTTCATCCAGCAGTCTTGACTTGTTTCGCAATTGTACTGTGACATTCATCGGCCCCACTGGAGCTTGGTCCTACAACCTTTTCCAGCTTAACCACTAAGCCACAGCGTCCCAGACTGCCGCCTGTCAAATCAACATGGCAGCATCTGTGAAGTTTGCAAGAGTCCAGGTTTGTTTGGAACACAGTAGCTGGTTTCTAGATCATCTTGGACCAGTGACAAACCAGCAACCACGTTCCATAATCTGGGTTTTCCAGCAGACACGTGAAGGAACGTTTGGGTGAGGATCGTAAAATCTCATCAGTAGCGATCAAACCACGTTGTGAAGTCCAGCAGCTCTTGGTCTTCAGAGCTCAGGTGCTCGTAGCTCCCTTCATCGGACGAATAGGAGGAGTGTGGCGACTCAGGATCGGCCGAGTACGCGTTGGAGAGCGTCGGTGACGGAACGCCGCACTGGAACGCGGCAGAAATCGCGTCGTGCTCGTCCAACAGCTGCTGCAAGGCGCGGATGTACTCCACCGCGGAGCGGAGCGTCTCCACTTTGCTCATCTTCTTATTGGCCGCGCCGTTGGGGACGTGCTGGCGCAGCGTCTGGAATCCCATATTCACCTGTTTGACGCGGTTCCTCTCGCGTTCGTTGCGCCGCGCCACCGCGACGGGCTGCTGCTGCGGGATGCTGTATCCCAGCCCGTTAAACGCGAGCCTCCGCTTGCAGCGCAACAGCTCCGGCGAGCGCGAGCGCTGTCTCTTCAGCACCTTCGACTTGGTTTGCGCGCAATCTTGCAGGCTGACGGACGCGTTGCATGCACTTTGCGCAGCATCCATGTTTTTTGGCAAATCTTTTCGAACAACAAATCCAGTGTCACTGTCAAAAAACTAGCGACGCACGACTCTTGCGCTCTTCGCGTGGTGTTGTGGTCCCTCGCATCTGCTACAAACTTTGGCAGCTCTCAGCTTTTTCAACACGCGTCGGACACCCCACCCCCTTTGAAGACGCACGCTTCTTGTGCGGGACTCCGCCCGCCGGGTGACGCTCCGCGAGCCGGGCGCGTGGCTCTGCGAGCTCAATAAACAATCGGACGCTTTCACTGCGCCAGCACGCGCGGTGCGCTCATTTACATCCCAATATCCGCATCCTCAAAGCCCATTGGTGGATTTAAACTGAATGAGAAACCACAAAATGTGCAGAATAAAAGGCGAATGGCTTTATAGATGCTTTTGAAAATAACAATGAGTCTTTGAAAGGGTTCGGTTTAGATTTGTCCACTTTTGCGCAGGGTAAAAACCCAACACAGATTTGCAAACAAAAATACCAACGTGCAGAAATGTGATATAGGACATGTATTAGAATGCATGTAAAAAGCATGGACTCATTATTAATGTAGGCTAATACAGTGGGATCCAAAAGTCGGTAACACTTTATTTTAAGGTGTCCTTGTGACGCGTTGCACTTACTATTATAAAAACAATATCCGACATTATATGCATAATTACATGCAAGTAACCCTAAACCTAATGCTAACCCTAAGTATACCTAGTTCATTAATATTACTCAGTACTTAAATGCATAATTACACTGTAACTAGGACACCTTAAAATAAAGTGTAACCCAAAAGTCTAATGAACATGCTGTTGTTGACTTTGATTTATTACAAATATGGAAGAAAATGCATGCATTTGACATCAGTACTCAACCTGGACTAAACCTGATGATTGTAGTTGCACGAGGAGCAAGGAAGCCTGATCGAGTTCACTCATTTGCTTACATTTGACTAGTGAGCTAGCAGAAGATTAAGCCAGGAATCTTAAATAATTCAGTCAAACTTTATTTTAACGTCCAATTCTCGCTATTAACAATACATTAACTTTGACTTTTGCCTCAAACTCCTAATTTGCTGCTTATTAATAGTTAAGGTATTAGTAGTATTAGTAGTTAAGGTTAGTAAGTTAGTTGTTAAGTTCAGGCATTGGGTAAGATTCGGGATGTAGAATATGGTCATGCTGAACATGTGCTTTATATGCAGTGTTGGGGAAAGTTACTTTAAAAGTAACTTGCGTTACTTATTTGAAAAAGTAACTCAGATATTCTCTTGTAAATTAAAAAGTAATCCGTTACTTTACTAGTTACTTGAAAAAAGTAATCTGATTACGTAACTCGCGTTACTTGTAATATATTACCCCAACACTGATTATAAGTACTAATAAACAGCCAAAATGTTGATAATAGGCATGCTAATAAGCAACTAGTTAATAGTGAGAATCGGTCGCTATACTAAAGTGTTACTAATATTTCTTATTCATTTTACATAACTTTTTATTTTTTTTTACAGAATTATAAAAAAATCAGTGTGGTTTTAGACCTTTGTTTTTTGCTTATTTAAAAAAAAAAGTCACGTGATAAAATATTTCTTTGCGACTTACAAAGGGCCATTTTGAAATACATGTTGAAATTCGTTCTAGTTTAGTACCAAGTGCTCTGATCACCACTGAACGCTTTAGACAGACGCAGCCTGCTGCCCTGCAATTAGTGTGTCACTATAAATAAAAAGCCATTTCTGAATACTGTATCTATTTATTTTGAAAGTGAACGGAGTACATATTGAGTCAAAAAAAAAATCTGTACTGCAGACCTGGCTGTTTGCTGTTTTATTTGCTCATCTAACACTCCACTAGCTGGTATTTATTAATACATAATAGCTGGAGCAGCAGAAATATAAAAACAGGTGTATTGGTGGAATCCTCCTCTCTCTAGTGGTAAAGAGTGGCATTACTTTCCAAAAGTCTTGTTAGAAATGTCTTTTGCTCCATATCGTGGTAATTCATCAACAAAGATATCGCCAACACATTCTCATAGAGATCGGCTGGTTAATGCATTAGTTAAATTAACAATGGACAACACAATGTTTACAGCATTTAATTGAATGTTTAATTATAAATATAGTATTCAGAGATGCAAACAGGTAAGGGGAAAAAAAGGTGAGAACATTGCGCGGATCTTATTTGAAAGATATTTCATTTACATGCTCATTTGTAGTTACTTTAAGGTATTTTTAAAATATTTTTTATTACCTTATATGTCCTAAAACTAATTTTTCACCAAAAAAATAAATTAAATTATATATATATATATATATATATATATCTTGTCACAACATTTGACAAAAATCAATATTGAATGTATTTGGTCAAAATCCCATGTTATAAACGATGAAGTGCTATATGCAGGCTATTTAAGACAATATTGGCTGATTAGACAGCAATGCTGACCGAAAATGCAAAATGTTTGCCCTCTCTCTCTCTTCACCGTTCCCACATCTCAGACCTCAAATACATAAAATATTACCCTTTTTAGACATAGTTTTTGAAGTGAAGAAAATACTATATAAAACTTAATGAAACAACAAGGGGGCAGTTGCATTAACTTAGCCACCATGTTAAGACACACAACTATTTTGCCAATCAGTCTTACTTTTCCAATACAAATAAGACTAATCTACCTTTTCATAACTGCATTTAAAAAGTTGACCAGTCTTGAAGAAAAAATGAGATGACACATTTTTCAGGACTAAACAGTTTATGCAACCGGCCCCAGTTCTTTATTTACACCTGTGAGACCCCCTCCATCACAAAAACACTTTCTCACTGGATCTAAGCAAATCTCACAGGTGACCTATTTTGATCTCAAAAAAGTGTGTTGTCACTGAAATGTGAGGAGCTTGCATCTGTGTAGTATTGCTCATTAATGCACACTTTTCATAGTATAGTGTTATATACTGTGAACAAGCATTATACAAAGTTTTAGACAAAAAAAATCCCTATACAACTTGAAATGTTAAAATAATACTGTATTAGTTAACATTATATATTAGTATATAAAACAATATATATTGATATATAGGTGTTGTTAATTGTTAGTTTGTGATACCTGATGCATTAACTAATGTTAATGAATTGAAACAGATAGTAAGACATACAGACAGTCAGTGTATTGTACATAAAGTTTTCTTCAATTTTCTGCTCAGTACATATACAAGCAAGAAATATGCAAAAATGGAAAAGCACCTGTGAATTTTCAGTTTACATGTAACATTTCGCAATTAAATGCACTGTATAAATAAATATTCAAATTATTTTTCGGCGTCGTACAGAATTGACTTTAATTTGACAGTTAATGTTTACCTGCTGATATAGGCAGAGCTGGGTCGATTACTTACAAATTGTAATCCGTTATTGATTTCAAATTACATGACAAAAATTGTAGTCCGTAACGTAATGCATTACATTACACATTTTAGGTCATGTAATCAGACTACTTTTAGATTACTTTTGTCCTAACTCTTTTATCACATTGACTTAAAAAGTTTAATCTTGATGTAATAATCCAAAGAATCAGAAAATATATTGGGTTACACTTTATTTTAAGGTGTCCTTGTTAGTGTAATTATACATTTAAGTAATGGGTAATATTAATTATCTACATGCACTTTACTATATGGTTACTTGCATGTAATTATGCATAATTTATTGTTATTAAAATAGTAAGTACATGTAACGTGTGTAACAAGGACACCTTAAAATAAAGTGTTACCATATATTCCATTTATTGTAATTAACAACATTAAGTGTATTAAACATATTACATCAAGGTTTCCCAAACTGGGGTTCGTAAAGGAACTGGCCTGCAGGGGGTTTGGGAGTTTAATGAAGAGCTAACAATTAATTAAATCATAAATCATGTAAAATTAAAATAAATCATTTTAAAATAACAAATTAAAACACTTACTAAAAAAATGAAATATTTTGTTTACCTGCATGCCATATGACCATTAACCAACGTCAGAGACCTGTGAACACGCAAATACTTAATTATTAAGATGTTTATTTTAAAATCTTAGGGGGAACTTCAAGGGGTCATTGATTATGATTTCACTTTTTAAACTTTAGTTAATGTGTAATGTTCCTTTTTGAGCATAAACGACATCTGCAAAGTTCAATGCAAAGAATTAGCTTTTTAAAGGCTGGTAGGGACTACAACGAGCTTCTTCCGTGGTTTGTGATATCACAAACCCTAACATTTACATAAACCCTGCCCCCGGGAGCACACAATCACAACACACTGGGCCAGCTGACCAATCTGAGCCCATTGTGTATTTCTGAGGAATCTGTATAAAAAAAAAAATTTTTTTTAAACTGTGACATTTACGGTAAAATACCGGCAGCTGCGGTTACCAGAACTTCACCGTTAAAAATATGATAGCAACATTTGAGGTTTTACAGACTTAACTTAAATTCACAATAAAAAAACATATTTCATTAACTGATGTAACGTTAACAAACCAGCATGTTGAAGTACTAATATCTGTTTTGAACCACTGTAATACTGATAATATATATATATAGAAGGTGCACAGTGCCATTCACACAAACACTAAACACCATCATGGTAACACGCATGATACTGAAATAATGCAGTAAACATTCATTTAACAACATTAGATGTAAGATAAAACCCTAATGTACACAACTAATAAGAAAAAACAAAGAAGAAACATAGTTATTTCAATGAAAAAAACATCAAATATGAAGAGTCATGCAGGGAATTCTGGGAGTGTCAATTTACGGTTTTTCACTGTAAATTATACAATGACTTTTTCCACTTCCAAAAAACGTAATTTTAACAGTATTTTACTGCAAAATTACATTAAATGTAATTACAGTTATTCACCATATATAGTATGGAAAGTTACTGATAACCAATTAACAGGTTTTTACTGTAACATTTTTACAGTCTTTTACTGTTAAAATCACAATCATTTTTTACAGTGAAGGGGCTTCATAGAATCAGGAAGTCAGCAGACCGCTTTTAGGAGAATGGAAACAGCTGT